AAATTATCCGCATACGAAATCAAACCGTTAATAATAGAAAATTTAATTTAAAATGGCTTTTTGTGGTTTATTTAAATTGACCGTAGATCAAGCTTTAACGACAATCCAAAATTAGGAAAGCAATTTAGCGTTTTTGGAAAGTTTTTTGAATGAATAACATATGATTTTAGCTAATAAAATCTAGCTGCTACCCCCGCGAACTTCGTTTCGCCTTTATATGATGTTTTACTTAGCCTTTTTCCTAGCTACATACTAACCTAAGTAATAATATATAAAACCATTTTTCTTCATACTTCAAGGAATTAATTTATAAAAGTTGGATTGGTCCAGCTTCGTCTTCAAGTTAATCGCTTAGCAACATATTTGGCTAATAATAACAAAATTATAAATAATATTATTAATAATATAATTTTTGTATAACTTTTTTACAATACGTAATCAATACCTTTAGGTACGTATTTTTAGTGTTACAATATTTTGTTAAATTTCGAACCATAATATACTGGAACTGGGCTGAATTGAAAAATACTTTCATCATAAGAATCTTACATTTATGCTCCATCCTTGAGTAACATAGGCTATAATAATATTTAATATATACCTATTTAAAAAAAGTATAGCCTTGTTAAAGAATACTTAACTTGCCGTTAGTATATTATTAGTGTATGTAATATGTATATACGTTTTATCGTCGAGAAAATTTTATCCAAAACAATTTTTGAATTTATTTTTTATATTTTCTCATCTAGCTTTTGATTTAAACTCTTATTAGAAAAGTTGAGTCCGTTAAAAGGTAATCTTTCTTGAGAAAGGCTGTTCCATAGAGTCTGGAAGTCTGAAGTCACGTTTCTTAAATGTCATTACCGCGCCCTAGAATTTCTAAGTGTAGTCATGCGATGCCAGGATGATGCCATAACATCGTGCCCAAAAATTGCAAGGGCATGATGTCAACGCCTCGGAACTAAATAAATTATACAGTACAATTCAACAAGTAGTCTAAAAATTAAATTTTAATTAAAGTTGTTAACGGAACACTGTATCTCGTATTTTTAACCATTAAAAGTATTGCTGTATGATACTATCGTGGATAAATTATAATTTTGTTCTTATTTTCTAATCTCGACAGTCGTCCAACTAATAGGCTGCAAAGAAAAAAAATCTATACACATATAGAAATACAGCTTTTGCTCAAAGCTCCGTACATAGCTTGGTTACAATTAAACAAATATTTACAAAATTAATTTCGATGGGTACTAGAAATGGATCTAGTAGGAGCAGAAAATGAGAGAACATTATGAGTAAAATTCAGGGTTTCACTTAGCAATAAGTACGACTTCCATTCGGAACATTCCCATGAACTTCTAGACGAATGTATAGACAAAAGTATTGGATTTGAAATATCGCTAAATTTTTAATTTCTTCAATGCTACTTTAAGTAACATAAATCTAAATATAAAAATAAAATAACTCTGGCAGGGACTTACCCTCACTAAATACGATTGTCAAATTATTTATTATTATTATTAATGTTATTATTATTATTGTTGTTGTTGTTACAAAGAGAATCTTATGTAAGGTAACCATAATAACAACTTTGATGCTGTCGAAACTTTTTTAGAAGTTATTAAACGTATTTCTACGTAACGTAGATAAATCATCATAATATAAATGCCAACTCATTAGAAGCTTATATTCAACTTAATTAAAGCTTAAAAAACTTGTGTCAACATCCTGACTTGCTATGTCGAGCCCTCAGAGCAAATTATATGATACGTTACATAACGCACATTGCTGTATCTTAATTGTTTTAATATGAATTGATTATATATAGCTGTATTGTATTAAATGTGTCTTTTTTCAAATCATTGCAGTATTAATACTACTAATATTATAAACGCGACACTTTGTAAGCATGGATGGACTGTAACTCAGGACAGTCAACTTTACCTGTAGCTAAATTCATTAAATATGTAGCATCTGCTATCTCACACCTTACTGAGAGAGGAAGTATGTGGATATGCTTGCATCTTGGTAAGTATTCAGAAACAAAATAAACAAATGAATTGCCAAAACACAAATGGCTCGGACCGGAACCATTGCAAGACTTTTGTAGTGCTACAAAAACAGCAAGCACATTAAGAATGTACAAATTGAAATGGTTTTTACATTATTCCTAGGTATCTCGCGGTTCCCATATACAGGCCTGCGATGTTAATATACTGATCGAACTACTGATGCGTACACGCTGACAGCAAAAAATGACCCTTTTATTAATAGCCATGTGTTATTGATAGAGAGTTCTCAAGTAAAAATATCTTTATTCTTACATACCTACATATAAACTATTATAAAATAACATATAAAATTCTCTTTTATTTTTAATCCCTAGTCATGAGTCTCACTTATAACTTTTCGTTACAGGATTGCCGACTTTTTATTCTTACACAAATATTTGTATTTAGAGTTTTTTGTAATAATTAGTTTTTAATAATAATTATGCTGGTGGATCATTATTCTTATATACAAATATAAAATAACATATTTAAAGAGACTTTTTTTAGTTCATATATCTAAAACTACTATATATTATTACTATTTACAGATAACGTTTACTTTTTTAAATATACTGGAAAATAATGTAATAAAGCTAAATTGTAGATAATCAAAAACAAAGTATGAAGAACGATTTTGAATGTGTAAATAGCATACGCGAAATCATTTTAAAACAACATCCTTTTGAAAAATCTATGTTTTTTTAATTCTAACAAAAAAATAATGAAGAGATTCGGGGCGTGGTACTAAACGGTTATATTTTGCGGCTCGCGTTCCCAAATTGTTATCATTAAGAAACGAATGTTCATCATTAGGATGTATCACGCAAGCGAAATAACGAATAGAATATTTTAAGTAAATTATATATGCGTGACAGGCTTATTAATATCATTACAACCTACATTACTGCACCTGTTATTTGTCCGACTTCAAAAAAATGGAGGAAGTTTACAATTCGTCAAGTATTTATTTATTCAATATATTGTTACATGTTAGTGTTGAACACTCAAAATTCAAAAATTAATATAATATATATAATAACAACTATATGTCGCCTTTTAAGGTTATAAAAGTAGGGTTTTGTATGTTAAGTTTCCATCCATCAGTCCGCCAAAACAATAATTCTGCGGCAAAATTGTCTATGGATAAAACTTAAATTACTTTGTCGATCAATACGACAAAGTAAAAACATAATGTTATTATATTAATAGCCATACGTTTATTAATAATACCGGTACCAAGAACACTTTTAGTCTCTGGAGTTGACAACATTGGAATTTGTTTTAATAGAGCCGAGATTAACAACCCATAGATAGCGTCAGAAAAATGTTGCCTGTTAATCCTCTAAAAAGATTCCTATATTCTGTTTAATGTGCGTCAACTATGGTTTTCGTTTTCGATTTTAGTAAAGAACACATACCCATATTATAACATTGCTTATGTATATGTCGGCGTTTGAACGCCATAATTATTGTGTCCAGACTCCACGATGAATTGTTGAAGATAATGACGTCAGCAATACTGTCGTCATAAATTAGTTTGTTGGCACCAGCCATTTACTTTCGACATTAAAGTCCACTTTTAAAGGCTTCTGATTGGTTCGGCCGCTCAACCGAACTAAGCGCCGCACCCACCAGTTCCCATATATATAGCAACCAGAATTTGTGATAAACAAGTTTCGTAACATTTCGTGTACTCGTTCCACGACCGAACCCGAATCGACCACAGAGTCAAACGGCAGTCATAGAAACGAGTGTCAAAGATTAATATTTATTATCAATAGGTTTAAAATGTTTAAAGTAATATGATAAACTCCTTTTAACAATAATAATAATAAATGACTATGGAGTCATTATTATTATTAACCATTGAATAGTCGTTAATTTATAGATCTAGCAACATTAACAAATTAAATAAACCATTCGTATTAACGGCCTCGAACCAATTCGACTTTGACATTATTCAATGACAATGACAGCTGACACTAACACAATTTCTTTAATATTTATAATAAAGACTACAGACTATCAAATAGTCGTTAATTTGCAGATCCATTAATAATGGTAAATAAAATAAACCATATAACGGTTTTGAACTAATTTTACCCCGATATTACCAAATGTTGATGAATGACAATAGCAGCTGATCAACACCATTCCTTAAACATAAATAATAAATGCTATGAATATACCACAGACTATCAATCCTTAATATTATTTATTATTATCTTGAATATATTTATTTACTCGAATTAAATATCAATCTTTATATTTATGTAACAAAATAATCATTATATATGAGTTTGCGCCCATATATAAATATATAATAGAAGCAAATAAATACTTACTTGAAATAAATACCAATCTTTATGTGTTTGTAAAAATATAATCATTATATATGAATTTGCGCCCACATATATATATGTAAATATAATTAAAAAAAGTATATGTATAACTTAAATTATTGCAGCGAAAATAAGTTTTGCGAAGATTGAGCAATTTAAATACACAAAAAGGAAACAGAAATTCATACAATAATTAATACACATGTCAAATAAACCATAGATAATGAACTCTGAGAATTATATTTACTTCATAGTTTACACGAGACTCTATTGAAGTAATAGCATGCCCATTGTTCATGGCACAGTTTCGAATGCCGGATACTGTAAGAGAACAAATTCTATTCATAATACCCACTGTAATTAGGTAATGAATCATATAGCAAATGCACGGTAAAAATGGCCTTAACCGTATTTTACTAGTAAATGGATGTCGCTGAAGGCGGATTTTGGGGTAGTAGGGTTGGGGAACTCTGGTCCGTTTGTAAAGTCTCTTGCCTTATAAACAATAGAATGCTCTATTATTTCTTAACACTATATTTCATTCAAATAAAGAACTTGCGTTCTTCTTTTCTACAAATTGTTTGTCCAACGTCCTTGGCTTACAATGCTAGCGGGAGTGAGGGCTTTAAGAGATTTCATCTGGATCGGAGTAGGACTTCGAGAGTTTTCTGCTTACCCGTTTACTTTGGTTTTGGGGGACTCTAAAGGTGAGATTCAAACGAATTCGGACTTTTGTATGTCAAAAAACAATACATATTGACGTACGGGAGTCAGAATTAGCGTTAAGTCTCCTGAATCTCACAATAAGTATTCTGTGTGTCTTAGTAATTACTAAGCAGTTAATTAACTGTTATTGGATGGGTTGTTATAACCAACAACCGCTCATTTATCAAGTGATAAGTGACAAGTGAAGCAAGTGCACTGTTCAATTTTATTGCGACTATTTTGCAATATGTTTATTTCATAAGACTTGTTAGGCACTACTATGAAAGTGTTTTATTTCTCTACATTACTTACATTAGATAAGATTAATTCTGCTCTGTGGTGGAATAAATGTAGTAATACTTTCACCATGAAATGATTCCATATCAAACCACGTTATTTCCATCACTGTTAAAACGAATTATATTTATTTTCTCAGCCGCAATACGAAATGAAGATGTAGTTTTTGCGAACTTCCGAATACCTTATTATGTTCGCACTCAATATGTATTTCGGTTTTTTATTTGGCCTCGCTTTATTCTAAGTCATCAATCGTAATTTCAGTTGTAACTTGTTGTCCTAATTATAGACGAGGCATTTGTAACGGTTTTACTACACGCAAATAATCTCGTGTAGCAATGAATTGCACAAACCCACCACCACACCACACCCTTTGTCTTAGAAAAACCATTCGTAACTTTACTTAAGAACTACGTTCGTTAATATTATTTGAAATATTATCGATTATAGAAAGATAATTTTCACGTCCCCATGAATCTCGACACACGGAACTAAATCGAGATTTACAACGTGCATTGGAGAAATTTATTGATGGCAACACCGTTATGATACGAACGTTGAGTACCTTAAACTTGTGATACATGGATTTGCGATGTCATGGATCGTAAAATTGTGATTGATAACCTCATCTCAACCAGACGACCCACCGTAGAAATATACCTTACTTAGAAAAGTATGTTGACTTTATTAAAGATTACAATGGAGTTTACTTTTGAATGAGAATTGCCAGATTCGTTTGTGTCGAATTGGGATTTTGTAAAACGTACTATATTATGATTTTGGTATAAAGCAGAACGACTTTGTGGATTATTCAAATCTAGGACCAATAAGTCACTGCACCCTATAGTCAACCTAAGAGAGGGAGGTCGTACTGCATCTTGCCTGTAAATATTTAAAGAATATTGTCGGATAAGTGGCGGGGCTTCCCATCTCGCAGCACCATCAAATATTGTAGGCTTAAAATATCTCAGTCATAGGCCAAGGGATCTCTCTTCTACAGAAAAAGTCCTTATAACTACCGCGTGATCCAAGACCAAATATTTTGTGTACTTTGAAAGACTAACATACTTACAATATTGTCACAAATAAATTGAAATTGCTTAAATTAATATTTTATATGTCAACGTTATCAGTTTAAAAATCACATTAAGAAGTGAAAATAATTTCGGATTCATATAATCGGACTAACCGATTAGTTCGAGAGTCATCAGCCTACAGTCGTGGACAGTTGTCGTGCGACTTTTTTGTTGGGTAGGAGACAAGAAAATCAAATTGGATGATTTAATAAAAAAGTGTTTCTAATTGGCTGTCTCGCTTGAATCGTACGTGCAGTTTCCTTGCTTTTGACCATTTCAGAGGAAATTATGAAAAAAGGAGTTCCTCGAACTACGACGTGTTTTTTTCATAGATACTCTGTATACTGATTGGTTTAGGTATCAAGTCTACCTAAATTCTAATCTAACTGACTGAACTAGAATTCATTTAATATTCAATACAGGCCTAAGTGTATTGAATATTAAATGAATTCTAGTTCCAAGAACTTTCATTTTTCTCAATAAAGTTAGTCAATGACATTCTATTAATAAAACTGATACAAATTTAATAAATTTTTATAAAAAAAATCTTAAGACGATAACACTAAATAATATTGGCACAAAGCGCCAATTCAACATGTTCCAAATTTAAAAATTACTCATTTGAAGATATAGAAAACAACGCAGAATGCAAAATATTCTAAATTAAAAGATACTCATTTGAAGATATAGAAAACAACGCTAAAAGCAAAATGTTCCAAATTTAATAATTACTCATTTGAAGATATAGAAAACAACGCTAAATGCAAAATGTTCCAAATTTAAAAATTACTCATTTGAAGATATAGAAAACAACGCTAATAGCAAAATGTTCCAAATTTAAAAATTACTCATATGAAGATACAAAAAATCCTTAATCGCTCAACAAAGCATCCATTATCTCTGAACTAAGAGCAATTTTAAATGATTTAATTCAAAATTTTCTCGACTTTGTATAGCAAATTATTGGTTTGTAATCCATAAATTACGCATCTAATTTCGAAACTTAAGTAGTGCATTATGAATAGCTTTAATGGCTATGAGTGTATTCACCTCTATTCGGAAAGTTATTATTACCTAAGAAATATCGTTTGAAATTCGTAACACATCGATAGATATATTCTTGTATCTGTTTCAGTAATTATAATTTTTCAGGAAGGAATAGAAACACTTAATTCCGCAGCAATTCCGCATTAAATATTCCGCAGTACACAGTCACTTACTAAGTTATTGTTTAGTGGTCATGGAAATAGTTTATCCGAGATTTTAATAAGTTTAAAGTCTATTTAAAATTAATGTCTTTCAGAGTCGTATAATTACTTCATTTGTGGTTTTGGCCATTAAAGTTTAGTAGCTGAATTGCACTGTTCTCGAGATTTTGTATAGTAACATTTAAAAGTAATAAAAAAACAAATTATTATTATTAACATTTAACCATTGTAAGATAAGATAAGAAAGAAAGACCGCGATCAATTGGTTTTTTGCTATACTGAGCACTGTTGGCCTAGAGGCTTCAGCGTGCGTCTCTTTTTCATCTGATCGCTGAAGGCTGATAAGTAGGTGACTTACCTATTAGAAAAAATAAATAACCACGAAACCGTTGTAGCGTTTCCACTGGGTCTATACAAAAGTTGTAAAAAATTGGTTCGCACGAGTTACTTGTATAAAATTTATCGTAATTTATTGTAATTTACATTGTATCGTTTACAGAAATCGAGACGGACCGCACAGCGTATGCGTCGGCGCAGGAATATAAAGAGGCTTTGGAAGCATTGCGCAGGAACACCGGCGTTGTGAGTCATTTTATGATAATAGCGATCTAAATAACACATTAATGAGCTTACTGTTTATGGATATTACAGCTTAATAAAACCGTTCAGATAACTTTCTATATTTTGCCTATTGCCACAATTTCCACAGAACAAGCGATTGACATATTTAGTACGGTTAATATATATAATTTCATGATAAAACTATTAAAATGCGAAAATAATAAGAAATACATATACAAGAAAAAGTTATTTAATTTTAAATTATTGTTTTATAAAGCTTACTGTTCACTTTCAAATAATTGTCTAATCACGTAAAGACATCCATGCAACTTCTTCAATACTAAGTCCCCTGTGAGTTGTGTGCTATGATATTGCGGGCTAATCAATTGTGAGGAAATTGCATATTTTGCGTTGCGCCTTCTTAACTTCTCTTGTTATTTACATTCATGTATATCCTTTCTTTGTACATATTTTCATAAGAGTCTGATTACCCTACATGTAACATGAGAGCAAAACTAAAATAATAATAACAAAATGTAGGCTTGATGTGACGTGCCTTTCAAACGGATATTGGACCAAAGCATGGCTCTTACTTTGTTGAAGGAAATATATACTTAGTTTAAAGATCTCTAATAGAGAAATTTTCTCTCGGTACAGGAACGCTCGAAACCGCAAAGAACCCTCGAATCAGAGATTATACGTTCTGAGGAGGTGTTGCAAGAGTTGACCGAAGAAATTCTCCCCGATCCATGGGAGTTGAATAACACAGCAAGATCAGATGTGGAGCTCTTGTTCTTTAACCGTGTGCCCAAGGTTGGAAGTCAGACGTTTATGGAACTCCTGCGAAGATTGGCTATTCGTAATCAATTCGGTGAGTTACATTGTCATATAGTATTTGTATGACACACATTATTGTATTATTGGTATTAAACCCAAAGAATTGTTTTCGCAGGGAATTTTATGTTTATTATCATATTCAACTTATCATTAATAAATTATTATATATTTAAGGCATTTCTACATAGGACCGAGTATGCTTTACAATGTTTTAAAGTATTGTTGACCTAGTAGCTGTGGTGTGCGACTCTCATTCCTGAGGTCGCAGTTTCGATACCCGGCTGTGCGCCAATGGACTCTCTGTCTATGTCACAATCGTACAGTGAGGGAACCTTCACTTATCCTTAAATCCAAAAATAGTCAAATAATTGGATGCAGTCTGAGACCAATAATCATATAGGGTTGTAGCGCCACTGGATTTTTATTTACAACGTTTCAAAGAATACTTACACACAAGTTATATAAGTTCCCTCTGTAATAAATTATGAATTATATTTTATAAATTATCGTTTGTTTTTTCGAAGGTTTTTGTATTGTTTAATATTTTGTAAAGGCAACGACGCGAGAAGTGTAATGGTTATATAACATGTTCTCAACGGAACAATACTAATGACTTTGTCTTAAGGTCAAAAAACTGACAATTTGATGACATTATTCTTATATGGTTAAGAAACTACGTCGTTTTTTTTCTACGTATTACTTGTTCGTAAAAATGTCTTAGATTCTGACGTTTTTTATGCAAATTTATTGTAGTTTTCTCATTGTCCGCTGATGTCGCAGCCTTGGTATCGTGCAGTACCTACTAAAAATAAGTTCAGTCAGTTAATTTTATTTAAATATTGAAGTCCCTATTGGGAGCGAGTAGGTATTGCTGCTAATCCATACAAAGATTACAAGATTTTCTAATGTAATTCTCACGCATTTACAACAATTTTCCAGGTCATAAATTGGCATTAAAGTACAACAATAGCTAATAAATACAATACGAGACAGTTTCGTTTGATTTCTCCTAAACACATTGTATCATTTACTGATTTAAAAATATTACGATCTATTGATTGTTTATACGAGAACTACTTTTCTATTTATAAAATCTTATCAAAAACTTATTTAACTGTTGATAAGGAAGAAAATCAACTAAGGTAACCGATATTACAATAAAAATAAATAAACTAAAGTGGAAATGGCACATGGCTAGAGGAACAGCTGAAAGTGTAGCAAAAAACTACTAAACTGGTGCCCAAGGTACAGAAAACGAAAATGAGGAAGACAACTTAGAAGGTGGATAAATCAAATTAAAGAAACAGCAGGTGGCACAGTGCAGAGAGGAATTGCGGGATTTGGAAGAGGCCAAAAAAGGGCACACAGATACCTAAATGAAAATTTAAATAGAAACGTGTTTCAATGTAAAAGTATCTGAATTATAATCTATTATTATTACCACCACGTAACTCGACGATTCGAATTGATAATGCCACTAATAAAAATATGGACGACAACCTATAGATATATTAACGCCATCTATTGACAAAGTTGGTATTTCTAATTAATTGTTGTTTGAATTTTAGAAAATTGTTGTAATGTGTACATTAATCTAGAATGTAAAACAACAGTAACACCTTTTAGGTCTGGGCCTCAATTATCCGTATCTGTTTTTTGATCTTTTTTTTAATAGTCAAGTTGCCTTCTAGCACACACCGTCGATTTTTTAGGTCTAACGTATTCCGGTTTCCTCACGATGTTTTCCTTTACTGTACCAGCAAGTATTAGATCCCCACATAGACAGTCCATTGGTGCATAGCCGGGGATCGAACCTTCCCTAAGGGATGAGAGTCGCATAATGAAACCACTAGGCTAACACTGGTCTAGAATGTAAATAGAAATAATTTTCTATCGCAGGTGATGAAAATTGTTTATAAATAGACCGTGTGTTTTGTTATTTTCTCTTCAATGTTTTAGTTTTATTATCATATTTTAAGGCTTTCATCGAGATGCAGTACAACGTGTAGAAACCATTCGTCTGGCTCCTGCTGACCAGCAGATCCTGGCTAGCATAGTCTCTGCCCACACGCCGCCAGCTTCCTACATCAAACATGTATGCTACACAAACTTTACACGGTATGTCAAAACCTTGAGAATAAAATTAGTTTAAAGTACACAAAAAACTATTACTTATTTTATATTAATCAAAAACATAACATTTATTTGGCGTATTATTTTAACTTTAGCTCGGTGTATAGATTTTTTTTACTTGGAACATTGTATTGCGCGTCGCGACTGCTTGTTATTGTGTATACCCACTTAAACCCCAAAGCGCCACTTGTAAGCTTTTGTTTTAAGTACCATAGACATTATAGAAACTTAGAATAACGAAACATCTTGATATAAATCAACACCCTTATGTTTCAATAATATTGTCTACATAATGTTTATCCTATAATGTCAAACCTGGATAAGCGAGAGTTCAAGGGAGCACAATCTCATTCTCGCTTATAGAGGTTTCTCACTAACCCGAGTTTCTCGCTAATGTAGGCAGGGCCGCGCCGCCCATGTGTGCGAAGTGTGCGGTGCACACAGGCGCTGATACAATAAGGGCGCCGCCACCGAAATTATTTATACTACACTACAATATTCTTACGTACGTTTGAAGTTTCATTTTACGCTTTAGGTTTTAGTTTACATTAATTACTCAGAGCTTAGCGAATCAAAAGAAAGGCCGCTGGTGACCGCCGTGAGTTTTTTGAGTGTGTTTATGTCTTATGATTTCAATAATATGCCGACATACCTTGATAAAATCCAAAATGAACTATTTTTTATACTCGGTAACCAAATTCAACATTTTATTTTAAATTTATGTCGAATTAATAAATATTTTTCAATAATACTGGATTGTACTACTGACGTTTCACACGAAGAGCAAATTAGTATGATAATAAGATTTGTCAACTTTAACATGTAAACTAGAAAGTTAAGAATAAGAGAGCATTTCCTAGCTTTCCAATTTATAATAGCACTTTCTGCTCAATCGTAGATACAACTGGCACTGGAGTAACGTCATTTATAATAGAAAAACTAAACGAAATTAATTTGGACATAAAGAACTTAAGGGGGCAAGGCTATGATAATGGCTCAAATATGCGCGGTAAGAATATTGCGGGATGTACGAGTAAATCTCCGCACTTTTTATGTCCGTGCGCCAGCCATAGTTTAAATTTAATAATAAATGACGCTGCACATCTCATACACGACTGCGTTTTTTAATATTGTGCAAGAACTATATAAATATTTTTCGTCCTCTACTAAAAGATGGGATTTATTACAAAGATATGTCATAAATCTGACCTTAAAAACGGTTAGATAAAAATAACATCATAAATAAACTATGTAACAATTTAATTCACGTTTTATTTTTCACGGCAATTGGCCAGCGGACGTTTTACCTATTTAAGTGGATTAAACTAAAGAAAAATTTTCTTTCAGTCAAAATTAAAAAATACATTGAAACTTGAAGATTCTTAAAAAATAGGCCGAAATATAGAAGGAGTTCCCTCAAAGGCCTGCAACACACCCGCTAAAAATGTCTATGAGATTCAATGACTGCCATTTTTTTCCGTCCCTAAGGCTCGTTTGACCCCTATAGAAAAAGGAGGCGCTTCATGGGTTTCGCACACAGGCGCTGCCGGGGGTCGGCGCGGCCCTGAATGTAGGTACATGGGTAGCGTTTCTCTCTTATAGCGGTACGCAGGTATAGTAGTATTATTGTAGCTATAGTTCCTCCTGAATAATATAAATAAATAAAGCTCAACTGTCGCTTATAGAGGTATAGATAAGTAGCAGTCTCACTAACGGAGGTCCATGAGGGAAAAACAACTCTCTCTTAAAGAGGTTTCTGTTTCTCGCTAATAGAGGTTTTGGGAGCTTAAAATGACGGGTCCCGGCTATTACTCTTACTTATAGAGTTTTCTCACTTATCCAGTTCTCACTTACCCAGGTTTGACTTTATATATTATTTACTTTACCTAAACACTCTTTACATAGTTATAAAACATTAATCAATGGGCTATATATGTCTGATAAATAAAGTTATTGTAATACCATTTACATTTGATTTGAATGATCTTCATAACAATAAGCACTGTAATAGACTTAATATCGCCATACACGTCATATTGATTGACATCTATGATTACAATGAAACAATTTGGCATATAGTCTGTGTTTAATTAGAGGAAGTTATCTGTTACCATCATTAATCATCGGTACGTATTTTAAACCGATTTGCATTGATTGATGTTTCGCGTGATTTCGCTCTGAATCATTCAATTGTTTGTTTTGTTCTAATTTTGAAATTGCGGTAATGCTTTTTGATTATATACTTGAATATACAGGGTGGCCAAAAAGTCTTGGATCAAACTAAAATAGGGGATGGAATACCTTTTCAGAATCCCTATGAAATGCGCCAAAACTTGTAATACAGGGTCACTTTTCGGTAGAGTAATTTTTTTTCACAGTGGGGTCCGAAACAAAAAGTTATGAATGGAAAAAAATGTATATCGTATAACTTAATATTATCTTCAATACACTCAATAAACAACTATAAATAGTATGTCTAACGCAAGAACTCATCAGTACCAATCTAGTGGATATTATGAAAAAGATACAGGATGTAGATTTTTTCGAATTTTAATAAGAATTAGTAAAAAAAAGTCAATTTTCTTATAAAACGCAAAATAAATTATAACTCTGCAGGGGTTGAGCTTAGAAACCTCCCGTAGAACCATTTTTTGCAGCTGATGACCTCATCTATCCCCTATTTGCGTTTGATCCACGACTTTTTGGCCACCTGTATTAGCCTCAATACGTCTGCGATTTCCTATAAATAATGTTATGTTAATTTCTTAAAACTAACTTTACATATTTATATGTCGGAGAATATCATCACGATCGTATCCATCGATATTAATTAACTGCTTTAACATGTGATGAGGAGCATGATGTACAGGCGCTTACAAACATTTTGTAAAAAAGCCTTGGCAATTTCAAAAGGCGACGGAGTTTATTCTCAGTTCTTCTAGTCCGTTCCACGCCCTTGATTTGAGAACTGGCAGTTAATGTTAATAAAAAACCACTATTTTTTTACTGACGTTGAATATCAGATAAGGTCGTATATTAGATTCTTAATAAGAGACTGTAAGCTTTTTCTCCTTTCAACTATTATGTTGTATCTAATAGGACTGAGAAACATTTCTTATTCATTGATTTTTATTTCAACTAGAAGCTCAGCCTTCTGTGTCTCACAAATTCTGTTGCACCTGAAATCGTATCCTCTCGCTGTATACTTTAAACACAAGGCTATGCAGACATATATTGTCTGTGGTCAAAACGAATTAAGTAACAATCATTGTATTGTCTATTGAAAAACTCCAGTAACAGTAAATTAAAATCATTGAAATAAGATAATTTCGATTTCCAGGTTTGGCTATCCATCACCCATTTATGTGAACGTGGTCCGTGATCCGATAGAAAGAGTTATATCTTGGTACTACTATGTGAGAGCGCCGTGGTACTATGTCGAGAGGAAGCGAGCTTTCCCTGACCTGCCCCTGCCCGATCCAGCTTGGCTTAAAAAGGTAAAGCTTAACATATGAAATGTATTCATTGTATTTTTGGTTTGGTTAGTGCTCACGTGAGTGGTGCAATCGGATTTGACATACGAGAGTCAAACTTAGCGATAAGTCTCGACCCTAATACTTTATCTTAAATTTTACTTATAATTGTCATTCCCATCTTAAATCAATAGTCTTAGTTGGGCAAAGTGCGAATTATTACTTGCATATATACGTTTAAGACATATGGACCACCACCATCACACCAACCTTTGATTTGGTGATGGTGTGTAACATCTACAATCTTCGGCTACAAATCAGTACGACGTGATATCCGGAAACGCTCTAACACAGTTATTCCCATCGCTAAGGAAACCACTTCTCAACCTTAGCTTACCCTTACACTGGTCGAGGATCCTCCCCTTAGGTCGGAGGAAGAGCACGACATTCTTCCTCCACAGGTTATAAGATTTTGACACAGCGCGCAGCGTTAGCATAAGCTACACTCGGCACATACATTGTAATCAAATATACAGCAAAAACTCGACAATGCAAAGACAGTGCAAAGCAAAAGTAAAAAATATATTTAATGTTGTGGTTTTTGCCCCTGAGAATATTATAAAAGTATATTAACTTGCATGCTTATAATAGCAAGAAAATGGTTCTCAGGCGCCGGCACTATTATAAATCACTACGAGCAAATAAAAAAGGAATTTGTAAGCCATTATTTATATGTTAAACTGTCACTCGTTTGAATTTTATAGTAATTTTTACTCGTTATATTTCTCTCGTACTCGTATATCATATTTTTATATTACAAACCAATACATTTTAATTATTTTAATTGTCGACTATATGAAATTAACTATATGTTTCTATTACAAACCTGCTTCAGTTTTTGCTCTTAACAAAAAGTGTGAAAGATGTATATTGATTGTAGACAAATTAAGTTTTATTGGTCGTGTGTTGGCGAGATCGATCGATTCGCGGTTTTTCATATGATCCATCAAAACTTAAACGATTTGTTTGGATATAATTAATATTGTTATGATTGATGGATACCGGTAAAGTCTTCATCTAAAAATATATATGTTATACATATATATTTATGAAACTTTTTCCATTTGTTCATTTAATGTTGCCTACTACCGCTTAGGTGTCCTCTGAGGTATATCCGAACCAATACGACCTAGGGTTCTTCATGAAAAAAAGCGAACCAACTCTTAAATGGCCGGCACCGCAGGCCCTCTGGCATTGAGATAGTACATGGGCGGCGGTATCACTTAACATCAGATGAGCCTCCGGCCCGTTGCCCTTATTTAATTTAGCAGTTTCTAGGACATATTAAAGCTTATTAGTACGGGATTAGACACAAATGTTAATTGTATCTCCTCTATTCGGTGACCATCACACTCTTCATCTTCATCATTAGTTATTTTATTTTTACTAAAGCATCATAAAATTATTGTATTTCGACGCTTCGGTGGACGAAGAAATTGTGACCAATTTGTGTTCCACCGTCTCGTAAATTTTTGTATTTAAAAAAACATTCTAAAAAGAATTCTTTGTTGTTGTTACCAGCGATTTATTTAGTCACGTACTATTATTATTTTATTTTACTGGCTTCGATGCTGTGAACTACTCTACTTAATATCAAATGCTTTGAACAATTACTAAAGGTGAATATTCGACTTTGGGAGGCGCAGAAGATTATATAAGAGCCGATAGTAACAAAAAATCAGACCAAAACGTTTTTTTTTATAAATTTGCGGTTTTGGTCGCTCTATTTTATTTATTTACTTGTTTACAAAAGCTTTCCAACGCTCGGAACACTGGTACAATGGTACTTAATAAAAATAACGTACAAGATTTAATGTGACAAGCACTTGTAGGCAAACAACAAACATGAAGAGAAAAAAGAAATCGATTCATTAATAAAAGTAAAGGAAAATTGATTTCAAAGTGTGTTTAACTATGACTAGACCTAGTTCATAAAAGAAGGACCACGAAATGTTGAATGACAATCCACACTCACTCCAAGCGGTTATATTTATGAATAGTCGGTTATAAATTTATTGGACTTTAAATTTTAAAATAAAGTTCCTAGACTAATGCAATTTGAGATTTCTTCAGCATTTAATCATGTTCAGCTAACTTATATATGACATATTTTAATATTATTTAAAAAAGTATTAAGAAGTTTGTTTAAAAAAAAGTAGAAGTAAAGCAGTGTTAGCTGGCTTCAGCGTGCGACTCTCATACCTGAGGCCGTAGGTTCGATCCCCGGCTGTGTACCAATGGACTTTCTTTCTATGTGCGCATTTAACATTTGCTCGAACGGTGAAGGAAAACATCGTGAGGGAACCGACATGTCTTAGGGTGAGATCTATAGTGCGCACTTAGACTTTGCTCTGACTTAACTATCGAGCTAAGACACAGTCGGTATTTATAGAGCAAACTACGAATCTCTCCCTAGTGTTGGCTTAGCTTAATCTCAAGTCCACGAAATCGACGACTTACCAAAAACTTTGACTATAAGCCTAACAAAAATAATGGCCCAAAATTTGCTTTACCATCATATCTTTTACTGGACTTTTTATTTTTGTCGGTTTTTAATGAACGGTGTTGCCATTTTGTATCGGAGTTCCATAGACTTTGGGAAAAATAGAATTTGAATTCAAAGAAATTATAAATGATCTTGATAAATACCTATGAAATGCATGAAATAAAATAATTACACATTATTATGGTATTTATTGTTGTTTATTTATATTATTTATGTAATTGTTCAAACCCCATTTTTGAGAAATCTTAAAAATAACTGGTGTGATTTTGTATGTCACCTGGCAGCCCTGGCAATTGGCATATTATAGTGACAACGAAATTCAAACTATAACCTAACCAAAACATTGCGATCCGTTCTACGTAATAAAATTATTGTCATCTTTAAATAATTAATACATTTTCTAAAGGTTACTCGTGAATTTCTAGTTATTGCAATAATAAAATAAATGAATACATAAATAACAATAAATTGAAGATATATGTGTACCGTTTTAGATTTTTAAATATTTGTTATTGTTAACTTTTTTTAAAGGATAATAAACAAAGTATTGCATGAAATGAAACATCAATTTGTATTTTGACATTTTCTGTCTTAGCTTGGGCTTAGCTTAATCTCACCGTTAAAATGTCTATAAATACGAAATCATAGTTTAACCTTAGTGTACACTAAGCAAAGTTTTTCGTAAGGTAAGTCTGAGCAAAGTCCAAGTGCGCACTATAGATCTCACCCTTAGACCCAAAAAGTCGACGGCGTGTGTCAGTGGCACTGACACAGGCTAATCACCTTGCCTATTAGATATAAAAATGATCATGAAACAGATTCAGAAATCTGAGGCCATAACCTAAAGAGGTTGTAACGCCACTGATGTATTTTTTTAAATATAATCATTTCGTTTTGTACCTAAGAAACACAATTTCAATCTGGATTTTCCATAGACTACTAAAATGATAAAGCGTATTTTTTATCTATGTTTTTACTGTATCAGTGACAATAGTTTGGTATCTTGTCAATTAGGAGATTGAATAGATGTATTGATCGTTTGATCTCCTATCTCGATTCAATTATAATTATTATCCTGCGAAAAGTACGCTAGTCTATAGTTAATAGAATAACTGTACTATGATTAATTATTAAAAGGTCAACGGAAAACACTTACTCGTTAATGTCAATTGGACATACGGAAGTCATACTGTGAGTACCCAAAACCAGTGTCCAGCACTGCCTTGCGATTACTAGGTAACTCACTTTTCAAACTCTCACAGCGGTTTTCGCAGCGGTCGCGCTCAAATCAGTCGTGAAGCAGTCATTTTACGATTTAGCATTCTGATAAACAACACTCGCGAGCACTCGTTGGTAGTGTTTAGTTTATCCAATGCGTCATTAATCAGTGTCAATATGTGTATTCGCGTAGCTTACATTAGTAAGTATTGCGTCATATTGATTATTATTTGATTGGAAGGAGTGCAGAAATAACAGAATCGACATTTTGTTTTAATCTTTAGACTATTTCTTTCTTTTGGAATATTATCGAGAGAGACAAAAATAAAATACCAGATAATGTGTCTATTGTTAAATGAGATATTTGACACATGTTTAGACAGGACATCGGTCCACGCAACTCAAAAAATAAATTAGTTTTGAGCGGCAAAAAGTGATGTTTTAATTATCATGCCGAAACGAAATATTAATCTGCGTTGCGTGTGATTTTTTGCATAGATAATATTTAAACGCTTTTAATAGACTATGGTGATATGGTTTCCCGCCTTTTTGTCAAATGTCAATGTTAATGACAGAGTTGATCGAAATTTGAATCTCGGAAAAAGGAGAGAAGAGCACTTTTTATCTATATATATTTTGTTTTTCTTAATTAATTTCTTATGTTTGCTATTTTAATTTCATTGGTTATGCATTTTTGTCTATTTAGGGTCACCTATTAGGACAGGATTGAGTTTCTTTCATAATTAAAATAATGAAGCAAAACGAAGTTTTCGGGGATAGCTACTTGGTAATAAAAAAATAATGTTTATTGTTTAACAATTCTAAAGATCTACAATGATCGTCAAAGCAAGACTAATAGAACGTTGCTTTTAATTGATATATTTTTCAATACACTTGAAAACTAAGCAATAAAAAATTACACAATAATTTAAATATTCCTAATAGCTAAGTTAGAGTTGAAGCTAGTACTTCGTTAAGTGATAATTTAATTGGTTTTCAGGATTTCGAAACGTGCGTACTGAGCGGCGACCGGGAGTGCAGATATATAGAAGGAGAGACTCATGAAGGCATCGGAGATCACCGAAGACAGACCCTGTTCTTCTGCGGACATGAACCTCAGTGCACGTAAGTCTGCTAAGAGCTTTATAATAAAGTTAGTTAACGAAATTACCACGTTCAGTCATAATGCTTGAATATTAGATTATAGTAAGTATCAAATAGCATAGAGAACTTAGGTCGGTATTCTAGACTTCCAAACTGAAATCTAGTTTCAAGGGCTGACAAACTATTGTTGAAGTCTGAAGTGTGCATGACAGCGCTCAAGACGAGATTCCGACCTGAGATATGATTTAGAATATGGCCCATAAACAAGTAAAAAAAGTAAAAAAAACGCTTCAAACAAATTGAGGTAAAATGAACCAACAAATTTAACATAAATCCGTGAGGAATTCAGCTTGCCTTAGATTCAAAAAGTCGACGGCGTGTGTATCACAGGAGGCTGATCACCTACTTGCCTATTAGATTGACAAATTATCATAAATCAGATACACAAATCTGACCACTGATTGTTTTTTTATTTTTTGTTCAAACGAAAAGAGTCGACAAGATTCGCACATATTTAAGCAAATGGTAATTTATAATTTTTTTGTATTCTTACATACACAAGTTTAATTTTAAATGTATATAAATCAGAAGAGAGTTGTTCCTATGTTTTTTAGGCCTTTCAACACAGCAGAAGCATTACAACGCGCGAAACGCGTGGTAGAGCAGCAGTACGCGGTGGTGGGAGTCCTGGAAGATATGAACTCGACTCTGCTGGCCTTTGAGCGATACGTGCCTCGATTCTTCAGAGGAGCCTTAAGGATGTATTGGGGTAAGTTAAACATATAAGTTATATGTCGTAATGTAAAATTGTAAACTTTAATATTTGGGCCGTTCAAGTATTATTGCCGATATTCAAGATATTTTTGTATAACAATACGCGCCTTTTTAAAACAGCGTGCCTCGCTAAGATAATTATTTAAAGAAGTCAGTATTTTAACAGTTGCCTCCCAATATGTGTATAAAATTACTATATACGTTTATAAAAACATAAGTACATTTCACAACTGTCACAATTTAAACACAAGAAGTAGGAATAGACTTGCTTTTCCAGCTTTCAGACTTCATAAAAGTGCTCACTCGTTGCAGAAATGTATACAGATATTTAACAAAATTCCAGATCATGTAACCAAACCGCTACATAAGTTTAAACTTTACATCAAGGAAACCCTCATAAAAGGGTATTTTTTTTTTTACGTTTTTCAGATAATTCCCCGACTATGTAGTCGTCGGACGTGTTAAAGAGCTTACATAAATGGTATTGGTTACCCGAATGTTTACTTTCTATTACTATATTACTATTTCTACTACTACCTATTTCTGTTGACGACCCCCTGCATGACCTTCACAGCAAATCCCAAAAAGATGCCCCTCAACCTAACATTGAGCATTATCCCCTTCAAACTCGTCTCCGTTACCCTCATGCCCATAGCTTGCTCAGTGTTATACCTGTCGTATCCATACATGGGACAGTCGGTGCTTCAGCTGCACTTTGTCTAATCCTGAACCTGTAATAAAAGGGTATTACACAGTTCAAGAATACATAGATGATAACAATGTGTGGGCATTAATGCCGCTATAATCTTAATATATATAATTTACGTGTCACGTTGTTTGTCCGCTATGGACCCCTAAACTACCGAACCGATATCAATCAAATTTGCATACCGTGTGTAGTTTGATCTAACTTAAAAGATAGCTTACATCTCAATTTATACCCGCAATATTATTTTATTGCAAAATATTTGTTTATTATTTGATAGTCACAACTCTAATAGATGGCGCTGTGTTGAAATTACCAACGTTTCACATAAGCTGCAGTTTAATGGCATGACCACCAAAAAAGCATGGTCCCCATGGGTCCCCGTAACTTCTCCTACCGTTTCCCTTGAATAGTTTACTACTATGTATATTGTAATATAACAAAAGCTTTAGCCACAGCAAAGCTTGGTCGAGTCTGCTAGTATAATATTATATTGACATGCATAAGTGTATAAATTGTACTTAGATGAATAAATTACTTTTGAATTGTATTGAAAAAATTACGTAAACACTATAGGGACGAGGGGGTCTTTAATTTTCTTATTTCGTGATTACGTCAACAGTAATTATTTTCTTTTTTACACACATTACCCACACATTGTCTATGCTTGAAAACCAATTGCATTTTCGAGGATTCCTACAAAAAATTAATACTTTTATGTACTATTTTTGAGAACTTTGCTTACTTTTGCTGACAAGGGGAAGGGGGGAGAGATAAAATGCATTAAATGTGCTTACGTAATACTTGAACGACCCCATTTAACTAACCTATTATAGTAATATATGGTGGTAGTAAAGTGAGAGTCAGATATTTTTTTAAATATCTGACTCACTTTATACAACAGTATATTGACTAACAATGTACCTAGTCCCATGTAGGTTTATCCGTATAACCTTTTTCCGTACTAATCTCCAAACAGTATTAAGGCAAAAAGGCCAGGCAATGTATAAAAACTCAAATATAAAAAAAAAAAAAAAATTGTCTATTCCCGAGTTTAGTTCGGTGGCGGTTATTGTTGTTCAAATATATGTTAAATGAAACACTATGTTGTTGGGTTTCAACTAGCTTTGCTCGATAAAAAACTAACTTTTAAGGGTTCTTATATCTAAGTGACGCTTCAATACCAGAGTATTCAACTTTTTTGGACGTTATCGGAAATTACTATTTATGTGTGTGGGAAAAAGTCAGGGCTCATTTTAGTTTATAGTGTGCGATAATTGCTCACTAAAATAATATATTATATAATATATGTAACTTAACTAATGTTAGGTTAAAACTCCGGCTATCTATTATTTTTGTTTGAGGTAAACAAACATTAAACTGCCTTAAAGGTCGTACCAGGCCGTTATAATTCCAAAAAAACGACGGCTTGCACTCCGGGAGTGCCGGCAGAAGTGAAAACTTGAATATTAACGTTGTGCATTTTTGATATTTTGGAATGGTTAGGGAATAATTTTGCACGAATTGCTTTAATTATCAGTATAAAAGTACTATCATTTATGTGGTAGAATACAATATTGATTTATTGCTCTATCGTACACAAACATATTTTATTTATTTTAATATATATATATAAAGCGCAAATTCGGCCCCACATGGAGTACTGCTCTCACCTCTGGGCGGGGGCTCCCCAGTACCAGCCCTTTCACTTGACCGTATTCAACGCAGAGCGGTTCGAATCGTCGACGACCAATCCCTCTCCGAGCGGCTTGATCCTTTGGCGTTGCGTAGAGATGTGGGGTCACTCTGCATCTTCTACCGCATTTACCATGGAGAGTGTTCAGAGGAGTTGTTCGGATTAATACCTGCAGCTGAGTTTCATCATCGGACGTCGAGGCAGAATACGAAATTCCACTCGTATCACCTCGACGTCCGCCGTTCCACAACTGAGCGTTTTCAAGGCAGTTTTTGCCGCGCACCACCACTATGTGGAATCAGCTGCCCACTGAAGTATTTCCGAACCAATTCGACTTAGGGTCCTTCAAGAAAAGAGCGTACCAATTCTTAAAAGGCCTGCAACGCACTCGCGAGCCCTCTGGCATTGAGAGTGTCCATGGGCGGCGGTATCACTTAACATCAGGTGAACCTCCTGCCCGTTTGCCCCCCGTTCTATAAAAAAAAAATTACATTAAATACGCCGCGCCAGCTGTCTACTCTCCATCCATCTTACGAATTTTCGATCATGTCACATGTCCTGACGCGAGTTTAACAATTTTCACCCATTCCAAAAAAAACGCCGCTATAGAAGTTTTCACTTCCAAAAAAAACACTTTCTAATTTCGAATCCTATTTTTTTCAGAGGAGCTAAACACATTCAACCGGATCAATCGAAATGCATTCAAACCGCCCGTTTCCGAGGAAGTGAAAAACATCGTCCGCGCGAACTTCACGCGAGAGATTGAATTCTATGAGTTCTGTAAGCAAAGGCTTCACATGCAGCTGAAGGCTCTACGGGATCCCGCCATTACTCTGCCCTCAACGCCAAGTGATAGGAGGAGACTTACGTATGATAGATTATAAATATATCTTAGTTATAGAAACAATATTCGGAGTTGTTACGATTAAAATTTAGTACTTCGTGTTATATTTTATCTGTAAACTGTTTTTTTATCTATTTACTTACGTATACTACTTTTTATCTATATATAACCCAATGTTTATAAGGGTCTGTTTCACAATGTACGGATAAGTTCTACATAAGTTCCAAATTAGCTATTTATTACTTATTGGTAGGGTAAGCACTATTGTTGCGTTTCACGACTGTCAGATAGAGCTATTCGTCACATAAAGTCCATCATAAGTTATGAGTCCGATGAATGTCAAATAGCACAATTTATCTTCCAAATAATTTATGTGGTGCATAGCTATTTGGTACTTTATCCATACATTGTGAAACAGACCCTAAATGTATTTATTGTAAATATAGGTAATAGGCTAGTAATGACAAATCAAAATATCTAAACGAATTATTAATTATTAAAAAACAGTTATATAGGTTATATATAAAATAAATCAGTAGTGCTACAACCTCTTTAGGTCTTGGCCTCAGATTTCTGAATTTGTTTCATGATCATTTTTAAATTTAATAGGCAAGTAGATGATCAGCCTCCAGTGCCTAACACACGCCGTTGACTTTTTTGGGTCTTAGAGGTCATGTCGGTTTCCTCACGATGTTTTCCTTCACCGTTCGAGCAAATGTTTAATGCGCACATAGAAAAAAAGTCCATTGGTACACAGCCGGGGATCGAACCTACGACCTCAGGTATCAGAGTCGCACGCTTAAGCCACTAGGCCAACACTGCTCTCGAACCTAAAGAATGCAGCTATAAGTCCAAGTAACATATATCAGTGTAATAACATAATATCCACCACGAACTGGAGTTCACCATAGCCCAATAGAGGAAGTTGGCGTAAAAGCATCAATTATTACCCCTTCTCCACAAAAAAGGCCCGTATGACATATCAGATTAGGGTAAAAAACCGCCTTCCCCGGAGAAGGCGTGTTCCTTTACTTCGTACTTCGCTCACTCCAGTGAGCTTCCGTCCTGCCTTTCAGGCGATTGACCACTAAAGGCCCTTAAGGCCAACAGCGAGATTCCATTTTTTAAAAAACATAATAAATTCAGCAGTGTCGGCCAAGTGACTTCAGCGGGTGACTCTCATCCCTGAGGTCGTAGGTTCGATGCCCGGCTGTGCACCAATGGACTTTCACCACAGTCTTTATGTGCATATTTAACATTAAACATCGTGAGTGAATATGTCAGGACAAGAGGCTGATCACCTAGATGCCTAATAGATTAACAAATGATCGTGAAACAGTTACAGAAATCTGAGGCTGAAATTTTTTCACAATACAGCTGGAAACAATGGAATGTAATTGAGCATCAAACAATTGAAGATTATGTGCAAGTATTGTGTTACGGAAGTTGCATAAAAAAAAATGAAATAGATTCACAAATGTCTCTAGCTCGCTGTAGATATTAATAAATACCGTTTATTTCTATTGCGACAATTTAAATGTATTATAATTTTTTTTCTTATTACTGGTTATTCCTTCAGTACCAATTATTGGAAAGGTTTCATGAGTAAAGGTATCCTTCAGCTTTTTACACAACTCTCGAACGCTTTCTCCGTTTGCTACTTTCTATTGATAATCTATTTATTACAGCTTTTTATGGTTTACAAATATAATATTAATTCCCAAAATTGTAAGGGTCAATTGGCAAATTCAATTATGAACACAATTTTAGCGCCTGCGATCTCTTGGAAGCAAATGTGTGAGCAACAATTTGCTATACATTTTTTTATACGTATATTTTTTAATTCATTGATGGTAAAGAATTTAACTCATAAATTATTTTAATTTGTGTGTTTCCGAGTAAAAAACAATTGCTAATGAAATGTTTTAATTAATTGGTTTTTTTCATTAATATGTTTAGGCAATGTTCAAGACTGGCTTCTGTTTCGATTTAATAATGTTAGTCAATTAATTCCTATGTATTGGATTGTTATAATCGACGTTTCGCTTTAAATGTATGTGTAAATATTATTCGTTCGGAATACTTAATTAAAACTTGTACATAGTAATATTTTAATTAATGTAACTATTAATTTTACTTTATTTTATATTTATTTCTTGTCCCTTCGATTAATTGTGATAACGTTTATTAGTCCTAAGACTACAAAAATGTTGTAATAATAAAGATATTTGGAGAAATTGTTTTTTGTAAAAGCCAAAAACCCTTTAGGATATTGCAAACAAAAATTAAATTACTGGAATAATCAATCTGACGTCGAACTTTCACCAAACAGTGATATTGAAGTAATTATAGTTCATAACTATTTGGTTGTTAAACGAACGGTTGAAAAACAAGTAAATATATTTTCGAATTTCAGCAGTTTTAGCAGTGATTAGGCAACTACTGTCAAGTCGTGGGATGAAACCCAGCAGGACACCAATTCAGTTTACTTTGAATGATGAATTATAACTTATACGGGAATTAACAATAAAATCCCCTAAAATCGATGTGCCTTGCACAGAAGGCGGGTAACATACTAGCCGATAAAAAAATCATGAAAACTAAAATCTGAGGTCAAGGGCCACGGTTGTATCACTATTGGAATAAATAATTATAAATAATTTAAAAACACCTTTATAATTCATGGATATAATTAAAACAACAAGTATTATGCAAATTCGTTTATTAGGATTGTTTATCGATGAAACAATTGTCAATAATTTTATTACAATCATTATAATTATTAATCAGTACAACGGCAAATTAATTTTATTCCAAACCGTAAAAATTAATGGCCACATAGAATTCAGGTACAAGAAAGAAAACAGTTATATAAATATCGATAATTTCTTAAAAATAATAATAATTTAATTTCATAATTCCTAATAGTCTCTCGATAAATAGAATCTCAATTTTAATAAACAAATAAAATTCTTAATAAGTCCATATTATTAATACATAAATTGTCATGGAGATTTTGATATATTTGTTTATATAAAAATAGAAAACAGTATTTAATTGATCTGTATTGATATATAACATTTTATTACAACAATAATATAAAACGTCTAGACATTGAGACATTTGTTCGTCTCGTCTACTTTAAAATATCTAAGAATTAACGTGAAAGTCTATTTGTGTGAGGCTTCGCTGACACTTATTATTCGTAAGGCTAATAGTATCATTAAAACATTATTAAAGAATCAATATAATCTTACATCATCTTTCAGCCTATATACAAACATCATTACATAACGTGAGGGCAGCTCGCGAGCTTTCTCTACTCTTCTATAGGGTTTACTTATAATTGCGTTTTATTGTCCCGCGGACGTAAATCTATCAAAATTAATATGAGAAAAATCTTCAAAATCAGTAATTATTGCAAATGGCACTCCGTACGAGTTAAACACTCGTTTCAATATAATCTACACCTAGTCTATAGAATATCACAATATTGCTTTACATCTGGAGCCTCGATAACGTAGGACGCCAAGTTCTCTCACGTAGGAACTGTTAGCAGTGGAAGTAGGCACAGGAATGTGACTAGCAACGGGCGTCCTTGCGAGCCGCCTGCGCACTCTCAGTCGAGCCAGGACAGGTACATCGCTTCTCTCATGACGCTGTCGACGCATTTACGCTCTTATTCGCAAATTCCGTTATAAGCGCATCAGTAGAAAGAAGGATGCCAGTCTACGGTAGGGTGAAGGGCGCCAGGAGGCGACGATGCAGTCAACATTGCCCCTAGAGCCAAGCAGTCGAAACAGTAGTTTGCTCCGCAGTTGTTATCCCAAAACTGTTGACCTTTGCACTGAAATCTTACAGCAACTTCCAGTCTTTGTCCTGACGAAATACAGGGAGCATAGAGTACAAACTGAAAACGATCAGAATAGCCATCACACGAGCCTTGCACGTAAATTGCTTGTAAATCTGTATAAGTTTTCCATCGATTCATAGTGTACCGTATATGAACTGTCTTGTGAAAATCTAAATTCCTAACTCGCACGGACCCACAAATCGTAATGTGAACGCCATCCGAGACTCTTGCACTTTCAAGACATATATTTTGTTTTTCGAGCTTGTCTGTTAAATCTTTGGGAAGTCGGAAAAGAGGAACTAGCGTCAGAGCACCAAGTCTTGGAGTGGAGCGAGTAGGAGGGGAGTTTTGGACATCACACCCGGTCAGATCATCATAAGCAGACTTAGGAATTACAGGAATCTCATCCATAAATGTTTTCACATCAGCTAAATCGAGCCCCAAAACGTCTGCGAATCGCACAATTTTTTTCCTGCCTGGCGTCCCCGGTGGAGTTTTACCAGTTTTCAAAGACGAGCACCGTCTCACCCGCTGTGGCCTATCATCTTCACCTTCCTCTTCGAGTTTAGATTCTTCATTTGAGTGTTGTTCGTTTTCAGTTGTTGATAAACAGTCTGTTTCTAAAATTTGGATGGTCTCATGATTACCATTCTCCACTTTAGATTCACAATTGACTGATTCCTGCTCAACCTTTGTTTCCTCTTCTTCAGGTAGTTCAGCGTCGAGAGAGATATTTTCTAGAGCTTCGCTGTTATCATCTGAACGTTTATCCAAATCAGTATAATCTTCGATTGCATCTGAAGGCTCGCTCTTTGCAGACTCAAACTCAGAATCACTGTCGATCGTGGAACTTAAATGCGCAAGTATCCTGTCGTTTTCCAAGTTACACAATGTTGGCACTACACAGTCTACTTCATCAAAACTATTTTGCCTGGCACACCCTTCAAATGTAATTGGCGAAAACAATGGTTTGTCAACGAGTCCATTTTCTTTTGGGGCTGGTTGCACTTTAATAGGAGATTCTGTGAAGAAAGCTGTTGTGAATTTAAATCCATTCTTCCCATTATCTGGGTGCTTCAGTAAAAACTTTTTCTGTTCTTTAAGTTCCTCGGAGTCGATATCGTAGAAAGGGAGCTCTGAGTCTTCAGATAATCGTTCCGTAAAAGGTGCTGAGTACTCTTCGACGGGGCTGGACGGGCTTTCACATTCGAGTTCATAATCGTACAAGGTATCTAAGTCCCGCTGTGACGACGTGGACGGCCGGTGTACGCCATTATCTCTGCTGAGCCAGGAATTCTCGCATTCCGCATCTTGAGGAGTACCGAGGCTCCGGAGTCTGGATTGTAAGTCTCGCGCGAACGCTGCGGCCCGACCACGACAAGACATGGGCAGCAGCGACGTCAGACCGCACTGAGAGCTGGCGTGATCACCATTCATCTGCGTCTGAAATAAACAAATCTCTAATTAGATAACGTTGCAAAATATATAGTGACGAGATGTCTAATAATAACAAACTCCTTGTTTATTAGATTAAATGCAGGGCAAAATGCAAACTGCACGTCTGCATATTATACAATCGTGTGACTATGCGATCGTGACTATCATGACACAAAAGTTGAATGTCAAGAGTGAACGACCTCGATAAGATAAATTAAAATGGTTCGCTATGATCAGCACGCATCACGGAGATAGAAATAAAAAATATGGAGGTGATAACAATTGTAAAATTTATCAGTAAACGCGTAAGTTTGTCTGGTAATGTGAAACGTCATTGATAGGTATTTGTAAATTTATTCAAGTTAAGGTCACCTTGAAGAAGTTTTGATGTGAGACAGTAGATAATGTTTCATACATTTCGTTGTAAGCAACTCGTATTTTATTGACGTTTAATAGCCTTAAGATGAACTTGACCTTGTTTGTCAATGGTAGGTCAAATATGGTGTGAAGAAAACAATTTTACCCGCAAATCCACATAATTAAATTCATCATAATGACCTCTCGTTGAAGGGAAAGTTAAAGCTAAGGAGAAAATCTCATAGTTACGACATTATAAACTCATTGATAACAAGTTTTTGTACCTCACAAGGCGACGCAAGCGCCAACAAGTCATCTATCGCGGTAATTAATTATTCATTAGCCATTTTATATTCTATAAATATATTAACTGTTTAGAATAATATTAAACTTACTTATGTTAAGTTCTAACATGAATGGCGTAAGATGTTTCTTGTAAATCAAAAACTTGGGAATTAAAAAGAATGGCGGAGAGTTTTTTGCCTTTTTTTCGCGCCTGCTCTACGCCCTTGATTCGGGAACTATGTAGTAGTAAATGTAAATATAGATCTCCCTTAAAATATTTAAATTAAATAAATTTTTATTTGTTCTCGTCGTTAGGGTCACGTCTTAATAAAGTATGTATTAATCCAATAGCTTCCATAGGTAAGAGCGTACCAATTCTTAAAAGGCCGGCAACGCACTTGCGAGCCTTCTGGCAAAGTGAGTGTCCATGGGCGGCGGTATTACTTAACATCAGGTGAGCTATAATGTAATAATTAAGAAAATGTTATTAGTTAAATTTACATTGCACTTATGGAAACATTTTTAATTTTTACCTTTGTAACATAACTTTGATTTCCAACTAAAGTTGAAAAAATTGACGCTTTTTATATTTACGTTAGTAACAGTAATATCATTTTAAATATTTTATTTAAGACATGCTTCGGACTCCAGTTTAGATAATGGTCCGGCGTATTATTATCATACCATTTTAGGTTCTGTATTATTTTTGTATAATATTTTGATTATTTAAAATAAGACTGGAATTGAATAACTATGGCCTTAGCAATTGTAATCCCGCATACCTTTAATGTATCAGATAATAAATCGAAGTCACGTGAATGATGCCTAGTGCCAAAATAAAGTCGTAACGTAGGACGTCACTGACGGTAGGCTGCGCTACTGAAATAACATCGAGGTCTTATGATGTATAAATCTTACAGCCGATATTAATATATTAGTACATATTTAAGTTTTGAAGTGAAACTTCTTTAGGCGCATGAGGGTAAAATTTTTACGGATGAAACGCAATAATAATACTATTAGCGTCATGAAGATGTGCAGCGTTTTTGACAAAAAAAGGGATAGGGTGATTGAGAGAGAGTGAGAAAGGGCGAACGTAGCATCACGCACAGTTCCATGGAGCGAGAGGTGGGAGAGAGCTAGTGAGAAAGATTGAGAGAGAGAGTAAGGTAAATCGAGAAAGTAGTCATATATTAGAACTTTAGATGGCAATTCTGTCGCATAACGTCTGGTGCAGTAAACGCAGATTTTTTATTTATTTATATTATCATTAGCACGTATTCAGTGTGTAAACAGTGTGAAGTGATCATATACTGGAACATGATCAGCTATTGGGGCTTTTACCTTAGTAATAATTAATTTACAAAGAAGTTTCACTTCTAACATACTGTGTAATTTGTACGCACGCACTTTTATTTAGTATATTCTGTGGAAAATTAATAAAATTCTTGTTGTTCTTCATAATCGTAGTCATAAACCATAATTAGCAGTGCATTCGTCTGTTGATAGATAGCTGCGGTGATAGAGAGAGAACAGCGCATAAATTAAAAGTGATATTGATTTCGTTGATATGAAAAAGGGATTATCTGTGCAGTGAAAAAACCGTTGCTTGGTAATTTAAATTACGTAATTTTGGAGGCTTTCGGTGTTCACACGTAGAGATGTAAGTAGTATTATTGGACACTTTCTTGTGTTACCTTATTAGAAAGTTAGGTTAGACTTAAATTATTTATAAGTCTTAAGTTAGGTCTGATTGTAATGTTCCATGATGTCAATTCAATTGCCCTTGATATAATAAATATTATATACGTTACAAAAGTTTAAAACTAATAATAACACAAGCAGATCTTGTGAACTCAGCCAGAGTACAAACAATTCGGTCTACCTAAATAGAAACCCTATTTATTAAATGTAAACCACAAGTTGAACTGTGCGCGCGGTACATCCAAAAGCTGTGACTCCCGCCTCAAATTCTTGCTTGGAACCCCTATACCCAGTCTCTGCCTTATATACACAATACATTATTGTTAGAAAAGACTGGAGAGAAATGTGTTTATTGCCACAAACTCTTACAATTTACAGGTTGAGTCATTGACCGATGATTAATGAACTGTGATCGAGTTATAAAACAATTATGTATGTAATTTGGTATCTATACGTTGGTTTCCGGTTCATTCAGACACTGACCTACCTCAATCTATTTCAGTTCCACTACTGATATTATTAAACAATATCAGAGTTCAACCAAATCGTATATGAATTGAACGTTTGAAGTATTTATATGAGTAGTTTGGTAAAACCCTGATTAACAAAAGCACGGTAAGTTTGTTTATTATGCTCTTAATTAGGTTTTAGCTACTATTGTTTTTTATTTTGTGGTTGCTTGTTTAATTTATTCCCTTCCTAGCTTGCTTATGTTCTAATATAATTGATGTGTATGTGAATGTGTGTAAAATTTGTGATGTCTTACTTTGTTGTAGGCCACATATAAGCCATAATTTGCTAATGGCGTTACTTTTATAAAGGTAGTATTAATTATTTATAATTTTTTTTTTTCAAATTTTAGGACTAGGCTTTATTTACTGTTAAAACACTATATACATTTACGGAAAAGTTTTTCTTTGAGCTACATACTCGGTGTAAAACAGGCGAAAATTAGGAGTAATAAATTAAGGATAATTTTTGCTGCAAATTATGATTGATTGCTCTTTGGAAATAACACGACAAACCATTATTTAATTATGTGGTTAGGGCTGTCAACTATTAACAAGTTACTTAGTTTGTTAGTTCTATGTACGTATTTAAAAATTAAACATTTACAAACATAACGGACGGACATTTATCTTAATCTGATTAAATTTATAAAAGTAATTTCGAATTGCCATTATTGAGACGGAATCACAAAAATATAGCAGCCTTGATTGCTAGGCGTCCAATGCACCCAATTTATAAAATATTGCACATATGATGTCACTGAGATATGAAGAACATGGCCGTGATAACCAATAAGCTTAAATTGAAAAGATGACAAAGATTCGTTTCATCCACTCAACAAAAATTGTCTGAAATATCTTCGTTTTGAAATGTCTCATTATTTCTTATAATATATGGCATGTTAAAGCTATTGGGAATTAGTAAATGAGAATGAAAATAAATAATAGGTTTATTTCATTTAAAATTATAAATGTCCCGCCCCAGCTGTCAACGCAATTGCCGCGCGAAATTTTGTTTGTATAAAACAAAAACAAAAGAACATATTTAAATTTAAAATTGGAATGAATAATTGCTACAATATAAAAATATTGTTACTAGTTTACTGTAGAAACCATGAGCTGCGTTGTGTTCCCAGGAGAATGTGCTCCTATTTCACCATGCCTCCTCCTGATATAGGGCAAATCTTTGTTTTTTTAATTTATTTTATTATCATTAATTACTTAAGATGTCATGTGGAACATGGTGTAATGGTTGCAGCTACTTACAAACATTGCGTAAAAAAAAACGCTTGGCGATTCAAAAGAGTAGCGGAGAGTTTATTGCCACTTCTTCTCTTCCGTTCTACGCCCTTGATTTGAGAACTGGCAGTAAATGTAATATAAGATACAGGTATCACTTATTCCACGTCATTAAATTTGACGTTCACAAGTGTACATTGTTACCTATATGAATAAATGATTTTGATTTGATTTGTAGTTGTCAGGACCATCTCATATTTTTATTAATTTTAGTTGTTATGAAAAATATTATAATTAATTACACTTTCTGTTCGTCTAGTTTTATATAACATCTATGCTTTATCTTATCCTAACAGGATTACTATTGTCACCGATATCATTTTATAGCTATGAGAAGATATAACATTATTGAGTTCATTGAACTAGCTTCTAGAACAGTACAATAAGGCCATTCACAAATTTAATTGATAATAATTGAATGAGAATTTTTTTTAGGCACAATTTAATCAAATGTAAAAGCAGCAAACTGACAGTGGCGTAACTATACCATCTGGGGCCCGTGGCAAATTCTTTTGACGGGGCCCTATCAGTAAAAATCGTCACGTTGTACTCGGTTTAATTCTAATAACCTTCGAAATTTTCAGCGTACACAAAATACATGTTGTATATGTCCCACTAATGGCCATAGGCCTCCTCTCTTTGGCGAGAGGGAATGTTTTGTAGTCCCCACGCTAGCCCAATGCGACTTCACATTCATCCATATAACATAATATCTCTTGGGCAGACGCCGTCTTGGGTCGGGGGCCCGTGGAATTTTGCCAGCCCTGCCACCCTATTGTTACGCCACTGCAAACCGCAAGCGCCTATGAAACTAAATTTTGTGTGAAAAGTACTTACATGTGTTTT